TCCAGTAGCTAAGACTCCGTGCTCCCAAGACAAACTCCCAGGGTTTGATCCCTGGTCTGAGAACTGGATCCCACATGCCGTAACTAAGAGTGTGAATGCCGTGAACAGAGATCCCACATGCTGCAGTGAAGATCAAAGATCCCATATGCTGCAACTGAGACCCAGCGCAGCCAAATACATACAAATATTTTTCAAAAGTACAAAAAGATGAAAATTCTGTAAAAGCCCTTTATAAGAACAATGCAACAGTCAACATACATGACAGTATATGCTTCACAGCTGTCCATCCTCTGCCCCATTTCAGCCCCTACAATCCTGTACTGATCTATGTGACTAGTCTGAGAGTCAGCATAATGTGGAAATACAAGAATCAGCAGGATCAAGTTCAAGAAGAACAAAGCCATATGGCTTTGTAGAACCCAATGTGAAAAGACATGTACAACAGGAATTAATACACGGTTTAACCATTCTTACAAAATTAATGGGAGTTTTTAAAGAATTCCTTTTGTTTAAGTGCAGAAATGATCTTCAATAGTCCAAGTGAGAGACTGACAGATTTACAGGCACTTCAGACAAGATGACTCCAGTCATATAAAAGTTTACTTTTATTATAGGCACTATATGCAAACATTCAGTACTTTTTGCTACTTCTATAATCTTTTAGGTCGTCAGTTACAGTCCGAATAAGAAAATATAAACAAAAATTTATACACTTATTAACAAAATCTACTTTGAATGATTCTATAATCTTTATAATGCCATCAAACCCATTGTTTTATGCCCGTCGATGATGCTTCTTTCTGTTCTTTCAATTATAAAGTCTCTGAAGACCCAGAGTCGGATGGATCTTCCACTGCGGCAGGAAATGTTGAATAAGTAACTCTACATAGTTTCTCTGTTAAGTGTTTGCTTTTTAATTTTGATTAGATGCCACACTTTAACACAAATACTATAAGACACTATTTAACAGCTTACACGGTCACGGCTCACTAGCGCTTCATTCCGGCCTGGACGCTGACCATGGTGAAATAGATGCCTTTCTGTGCCAGCAGCTGCTGGTGCGTGCCGTGCTCCTTGATTCTGCCGTTCTGAAACACCACGATCATGTCTGCGTTCTGGATGGTGGACAGGCGGTGAGCGATCACGATGCAGGTGCGGCCTTCTCGGGCTTTGTCCAGGGCTTCTTGGACAACCTGTTCAATGATCACACAAATTACCTCTGGTCAGGATAATCCTCCCCCTTGAATTCCTCCTTCATAACAAGCCTCACCGTTCATGTATCCAATGATAAGTGCTCCTTTAACGGTGTCAGTGGAATATAATACATATTTTACAAAGCAAGGGATCTGTCATATTGGAAGATATCGAATCCTAGTTTGGGTTAGTTCTTGGGTAGGGGCTATCTTCAAGTTGTGACTATAAATACAGCCCCTGTGATCATTTAAAAGCATTCAGCAGTGGGCTTAGCCATGCAGCATCCTTCTGGTCTAGCAATACAGTTAAGTCAGGAAGCCTAGGCACGGGCCAAACACAGCTTCTTTGAATTTTGGTATTTTTAAAATTAAAAAATAATTCTCAGTACAACATTATAAAACAACTGTATTCCAATAAAAGATTTAAAGAAAAAAATCTCAGAATGAGTTATCATTCAGATACCTGAATACTCAACTTTTTCTCAAACTAAAAACAATAGCTAGTATTTACCTTACGGAACAGCCAGGTTTAAACATTTTTCTGTGCTTCCACTTTTTTATATAGTTGTTGAGGAGATGCTATCAGGAGAGATGGGACCATGCCTCCTGAATGCAGCTTCTTGGATCAATACAAAATGATCCAGGGCTAGTTTTTGGAGCAGACGTGCTATAAGACTAATCTGCCTCATTTCATCTTAGTTCTCTTGAATGACAGCTACAGAAAGTGTTTAAATTCCACTGAGAGTAACAAAATTTGTTATTAACCTGTATTTTCTTCTCTACTGTGGAAGACAGTAGCACAAATTTAAACCGTCTAAGGATAGCTGCTTCAAGTGTGAACAAGTCCAATTTAAATTCTCACCTTTTCGCTTTCCGTGTCCAGAGCCGAGGTAGCTTCGTCCAGAAGCAAGATGTGCGGCTGTCTGACGAGGGCGCGGGCTATGGCGATGCGCTGTTTCTGGCCGCCAGAGAGCTGAGTCCCCTTGTCCCCGACTCTGGTGCTGTATTTCTGTAAACAGGGTTTGTTATTATGAAAAGCAGAGCTGATAAAGCTGTGAGAAAGAGTCTGCTTGCAGAAAACAGGATAACCACTTCCATATACACAAAAACGTTGAGGTTCAGAAGCTAAGAATGGGTTGATGAGTTTAACAGCAAAAACATAGCTCTAAATGGCAGGATTAATTTCTCTTCTTGAAAACAGACACTTGTGTCTTAAAAATTATGTGTTAGTGTGGACAAATTAACCTGAGGAAGACTACTGTTGCAATGTCAGGCTCTTCAAGCCTTCTGGTTTCATTATATTTGGGACAGAGAATGGTCAGAGGAAGGAAATTTGATTTTAACAGGCTATGCATAATATAATTGAAGCTTGTTTTATTTCTAACCAGTAGGTGATGCTCTCTGCATTATTTCAAAAAGTGAGGAAGGGAAGATTCTTAGAATGCTAACCTTTTGCTGTCTGTTTTTATTTTTTTATTTTTTTTTTGAAAGAGGGATGAAAAAGAATTTATTTATTTATTTATTTTTTATTAGTTGGAGGCTAATTACTTTACATCATTACAGTAGTTTTTGTTATACATTGAAATGAATTAGCCATGGATTTACATGTATTCCCCATCTGCTGTCTGTTTTTAGAAGACTATTTCCAAAGCTTCAACAATTTTAATGGATGCTAAGAAATTCTATTTTGCTATCTAACTTGAAAAGCTAAAATTTCCTGATTTACTTTTGCTTTTAGAATTCTCCTAAAATTTTTCATATATTGTTTCCCACAGCAGATAATTAAATATTAAATATGATGATAAGGACTGGAATTAATAGGGTAAATAAGTGAGACGAGAAATGCAATGTATAACCTAGAAAACAACATTATCTTTTTCTATTTCTCAGACCCTTGCCAGGCTGAAATTTTGTAAACTGTGGGCTCTGATTCTGACATCCAGAGTTTGATTTTAAATCACGTCCTACCTCCTACTCTGCTGGTGAGAATGTAAGCTGCTGTAGCCATTATGGAAAACAGTATGAAAATTCCTCAGAAAACTAAAAATAGAATTAGCATGTGATCTAGCAATCCCACTCCTGGGCACACATCCAGACAAAACTCTAACTAAAAAGATACGCGCACCCCTATGTTCATAGTAGCACTATTCACAATAGCAAGACATGGACCCAATCTAAATATTCACAGGCAGATGAATAGTTAACAAAGATGTGGTACATACATACAATGGAATATCATTCAGCCATAAAAAAGAATGAAATAATACCACTTGCAGCAACGTGGATGCAACTAGAGATTATCATACTAAGTGAAGTAAGTCAGAAAGAGAAAGACAAATATCACATGGTATCACTTATATGTGCAACCTAAACCACGACACAAATGAACTCAGCCGTGAAGCAGAAACAGGCTCGCGGACACAGAGAACAGACTTGCGGCAGCCAAGGGAGAGAGGCGGGGAGGATGGAGTGGGGGCTGGGTGCAGCGGAAGTCACTACTATACACAGGATGGATGCCCAATAAAGTCCTACTGCTGGACACAGAGCATCCTGTAAAAACCATAATGAAAAAGAGCATTAAAAAAGAACATGTACATATACAGGTAACTGAATAACCGCTGTATGGCAGAACTTAACACAACACTGTAAATCAACTGTACTTCAATTAAAACAAACTCATGTTCTATGCAGGGCTGCCTGTTCTTGCTTGCTATTTCTAGCAACCCAAATTCTGTGGCACTCAACAGAGAGCTCTCCACCTGCAGAGGCTGTGAGCGAGCTTGGGGGAGGTTTGGTCAGACGGTTGCAACAGGCCCACCCCAGAGCTGCAGGGGAGCCGATGCACTGAAGTGAGTCCCATGCAGGTGACAGATCCCACTGAGGCAGGTAAACGCAGGACTGTAAACCCTGAGAGAAGGAAACTAGAGCAGCCCCGCTGCAGGAGGAGGTAAATCCTAGCATGAACTGCAAAGGTGAAGAAGCAGGTCCTTGGACAGAAAGTAGGACGTAACGGGTTTTGCCTTTTCCTTCCACATGTAGATACTGAGGAAAAGAATTCTGATGTGGACAGGTGTGTTCTGTGGACAGAGCCCAGAAACATGGGTCCCTGTGGCAGACAAAGTGAGAGGCAGCAAGATACATTTCATAAGCTGGATGATAATCCCTCTCAGTATTTGCCTTTGTTAACCCCTAGCCCACCGGTTCTCTAACTGTACCTGCATCAGTTATCACCTGGGGTATTAGAACAGAGACTCCTAGACCCCAGCTCCAAGTTTCTGGTTCAGCAGGTCTGGGGTAGGGCCTGAAAACCTGCATCTCTCACAAGATCCCAGGTGACACTGAGGTGCTGGCCCATGCCCAGACTAACTGACCTCATCATTAGTGAAGGGGACTAAAGTTATACATTGAATGTTCCAGCCTTGGGAAGGGCCAATTATCCACAGATGGGCTAGAAGGTTAAAGGAGGGGAGAGAGGGGACACTGCTTCTTCCTGGGGGGCTGTGATATGTGGAGACGGCAGTGATCCAGAGAAGAGCCTCAAGAAAAGGCCGTCTAGGGAGTGGGCTAGGACCATAGGGCACTGTCATCTTTCCCCACGAGGAGAGGACCTTTTCTGCTGGATTGAAGTTGAGCTTTGTTTTCAGGGGGCAATTCCTTACAATAAAGAACATAACTTGTGATAATGGGGGGCATTAGATAAGACAGATCTAGTGTATATGTGTTGTCGTGTCTGAGTCTTGCGCCCCTGTAGACTGTAGCCCGCCAGGCTCCTTTATCCGTGGGATTTTTCCAGGCAAGAATACTGGAGTGGGTTGCCATTTCCTACTCCATACAGTCTGCTGCTGCTGCTAAGTCACTTCAGTCATGTCCGACTCTGTGCGATCCCACAGACAGCCCACCAGGGTCCCCTGTCCCTGGGATTCTCCAGGCAAGAACACTGGACTGGGTTGCCATTTCCTTCTCCAGGCAGTCTAGATGAACTTAAAATATAGGACCTCAGTGGCTTAAGAGAGGGTAAGAGGCTCCACTTCTCTAACTTCCTAGGAGGGATTCAGAGGGCATCAAAGGGACAACAGCCCAGGGCAGGCTTCAGTATCAGTCCTGCAAGTGGAGCGTGGGGCCCACGGAAAGTGCAATGGTGAGAGACGACACCATACCACGGACACCCCAATAACTCACCCTGCTCAGAGCCTTTTTTCTGAATGGGTACAGCCTGGCCTGGCCTGACTCCACAGAGAGAGGCTCGAGGCTTAGGGGAGAGCGGCAAGGAGGCGGAGGGAGGAGGCTGGGAGAGAAATGACGGGGGAGGCTCACGCCTGCTTCTGTGGGCCCCATGCCCTGATGTGGACGGAAAGGCCCCCCAGATGTGTACTTTTTAGTCAGACTGCTCACAGGGAGTCAGGCAGGTGATTGGGTGAACATGACATAGATGGGGATGGGGAGTGTCAGGTAAACACAACATAGATGGGGATAGAGAATGTCAGGTAAACATGACATGGATGGGGATGGGGAGTGTCATATAAACATGACATGGATGGGGATGGGGAGTGTCAGGTAAACATGACACGGATGGGGACGCGGAGTGTCGGGTAAACATGACACGGATGGGGATGGGGAGTGTTGGGTAAACATGACACGGATGGGGATGGGGAGTGTTGGGTAAACACAACATAGGATGGGAAGATGCTTGTCCACAGCAGGGGTGTGTTTTGGCTACTCATTTCTCTTCACCTTTGGGATCCAGCGCTTTACAAATCACAACCACAGGCTCCCAGGCACCGCATCTGGTGAGAGACTTACGTCTGGCAGCATCTCGATGAACAGGTGGATGTTGGCCTCCTTGGCCGCACGCTCAGTCTCCTCCTGGGACACGACGTGGCTGTTGTCTCCATAGGCAATGTTCTTGCCGATGCTGCAGTCAAATAGAATGGGCTCCTGGGACACGATGCCCATGTGTGCTCGCAGCCACTGGACATTCAGGTGCTTTATTTCCCTGCCATCGATTAACTGAAAACAGGAGATCATGGATCAGCCTCAGAACCAGAACATTTTTGAATTTAGCAAAATTAATATTGTTATTTCCTATGTTAAGACTGCCAAGTTGTTATGAGACTTTTGTTGTTGCTTTCAGTTTGGATCGTCAAGGTTAACTGAATCAGGTTATAATTGTATGCTCTGGGGAACCATCATGTTTCTTCTATTTTAACTCTGGCTTCTGATATATGCATCTGGTAGGCAGAATAATTGCTGTCCCTTAGACTGCAAGATCAAATTAGTCAATCTTAAGGGAAATCAACCCTGAATCAACCCCCACTGCCACTGGAAGGACTGATGCTGAAGATGAAGCTCCAGTATTTTGATCATCTGATGTTAAGAACCGACTCACTGGAAAAGTCCCTGATGCTCGGAAAGATTGAGGGCAAGAGGAGAAGGGGGTGACAGAGGACAAGATGTTGGATGACATCACCGATGCAATGGACATGAACTTGGGCAAACTTCGGGAGATGGTAAGGACAGGGAGGCCTGGCATGCTGCAGTCCATGGGGTCGCAAAGTCAGACACAACTCGGGGACTGGACAACAGCAACAAGGCATAGTGATGCCCATCTCCTTCATCCAAGATATCCATGCCTTAATTCATGAAGCCTGCCAATGTTATTCACACGCAGAGAGACAATTACGATGGAAGGTTGCTCATCGGCTGACCTCAAGATGAGGAGCTTATCTTGGATGATCCACGTGGACCCAAGATAATCATAAGGGTCCTTAACTGTGCGGGGGTAGAGGGCAGGAGAGTGGGGGTCACAGCGAAGCAACATGAGGAGGAGTCGATCAGTCATTGCTGGCTTTGAAGATGGAGGAAGGGGCCATGAGCCAGAAAAGATAAGCATGCAGATTCTCCCTAAGGGCCTCCAGAAGGCGCACAGCCCCGCCGACACCATGAGGTTCACTTCAGACATCTGACTTGCAGAATCTATAAGATAGCTCTGTGGTGTGTGACTCCCCTAAGTTGGCTGTAATTTGTTGTAGCAGCCATCAGAAACTAATAACACATATTCCATTTCTGGAATGTATTCTGGCACTATTATTTTTTTTAATAGGATGACTTTTTCATTTTAGTTTTCTGGCCGTACCATGTGGCACACAGGATCCCAGTTCCCCAACCAGGGGCTGAACCCTAGTTCAACTGGAGTCTTAACCACTGGACCAGCCAGGGAAGTCCCCCATCCTTACTGCTATGTATTGATTTTTCACAGGAAAAGTAGCCACGATTTGACTGTAAATAAGTAACTGCTATGACCACATAACAGGCCTGGAGGTCACATTTCTGATCTGACCTGTTAGTTAGGATCAGGTTTTTGAGGACTCAAATGAAACAGAAGTGAGCGTGGGAGGGTGCCGCTCTCTCTCTAAATAGTTGTTGATCTTAGGAAAGTGAGTTAGTATCTCAGTTTCTTTGCATGTAAAATGGGAATGATTATAATCCCTAAACTCCAGAATTGAGGATTAAGTGACGTCAGTATGGACCCCACTGAGCACAGTGCTAGGCACAGAGTATGTGAAGGACTGTCTGTGGTTTGGAACGGTGTCTGTGTCATGTCCTTGGAACCGCAGCAGATGGATAGATGTCTGAGGGGATAAAAGGATGGACAGGCATCTACAGCTTACCTAAAGGAGCAGGAGGGAGAGCCCGGCCTTTCTCTAGGAACCTGGGTCCCCTTGGATCACCCTGCAGAAGCCTGGGGCGTGCCCATTACAGCCTTGCAGATAAAAACCCTTCCTCTCTAATGGGTATCTGCCGCAAAGATCTACTTTGCAAGAGAATTCTGGCATTCAAGTGAGAACTGCCATAACCGCTGAAGAAGACATCAGTGACTCAGCTTCGAGCTTTTCTAATACTGATGATTATATCCCGAGCTATAAATATACTCTGAATGCCATGAGCCTGACTGCACGCCTCTGGGAGACAGCTGGCCAAGGACAGGGAACATACGGGCTTTGCTGCAGGAAGATGGCTTCTATTTGTGAAACTAGCAGGTGTAAAGATGGATGGAAAACACAGCCATGACTTTATTAGTACCAAGCCCAGTTGCCACGGAGACTATTCCAAGCATCTATGCTCTAGGCTTCCTCATGGTGTTGAGTGAAAGTGGCAAGTAGAGGCTGAAGAGAGGAAGGAAAAGCCACACGAGGATGGTTAAAAGCCGTATAGCAGGTCACGTTAGACGGGACACTGTGTACTGGAGAAATGGAGAACTGAGGAAAGAAAAAAATAAAATTTTGTTCCAGAATTATACCCCTAGGGGGCTTCCCTGGTGGCTCAGATGGTAAAGAATCTGCCTGCAATGCAGGAGACCCAGGTTCAATCTCTGGGTTGGGAAGATCCCCTGGAGAATGGCAAGTCATTCAGTATCCTTGCCTGGAGAATTCCATGGACAGAGAAGCCTGGGGACTACAGTCCCTGGGGTTGCAAAGAGTCGGACACAGCTGAGCAACTAACACATACACACACGCGCGCGCACGCACACACACACACATACTGCTAGGGAAAAAAAAAGACACTTAACTAATATAATCTGATGAATATGACTGATCCCTGCAAGCTTCAATGAGTCTTTCCATCAGACATATAATAAGATGCTTAGAGCTCCTCATCCCCACACTATACACAGCTACTGCTAACTATTTAAAACTTGTGTTTCCTAAAGATCCTTTCTTGAGAGAAAATATGTTTAAAAGTCCAAATGTAAAAAGATCAATGTACATCTTCTTTGGCTGAGGCATGGGGGTGGTCTGAGGAAGACCAAGGAAATCCAGTGAGTCTGTGAACACTGCTCAAAAGATACTGGCCTAAATGAAAATCTCAAGTAACACGCTGGCAGTAACAATGAAAGGCTAAATTAAATGATGAGCTATCCCTATTCTAGACTTAAATCTACTGCCTGATTTCAGGAGCACAATCAAATGTTACATATGTATCATTTTCCTGTATTTACTCTGAAATAATCATTTTAGATAAGTTATTGAGCACTGATTATATCATAGGTCCTGTGATTAAGTATGCCTCATGCACTCTCTCATTTCATCTTGACAAAACTTGCAAGACAGGTGTGACTTTAATACCCATTTTACTGATGAGGACATGAGCAGAGTTCGGTCACTTGTGCAAGGTCACATTCTTAGTGACTGAGGGAGCTCAGATCTGCACACTACAGGTTAGATTTTGGCTACACAATGGTTGAGAATTGAAAAATACTTTCTGTCTTCTTTCAAAAGAACAATGTGTCCATCTTAGCCCAGGTACCCAGTGGGTAGCAGCCAGACGACAGGCTTCTAGCTGTGTCCTAAGAGGGAGAGAGGACTCTGATGGTGGTGTGTAGGATGGGCAAGGGGAGAAAGGAAAGGTCAGGGGAAGACTCAAGAGTCGAGTGAGTCTCAGTGATGCTAATGAATGTAAGATTCAAGGACCCTCATCTGCAGGCAAATGCTGGGAGTTAAACAATGTCCGGGGTGAGGGGAGGCCAGGCTTTTCTGGGTAAGCCTTTAGGATAACTTGCCTAAAAAGGAGAGGGATCAGCATCCTTAAGGCTTTAATATTTTGTTGTGAATTTTTTTCATTAGAAGTAAATATTTACTCTTGTGACTAATTCTGTGTTCCTAACTTCGGACTCTTTCAAGTATAGTCCCTGAAACTGTACCACTTTCAGGCCCCACAAAACTCAGAACCTCTACTCTCTGAACAATCCCATAGCTTCATTTTCTAAGACTTGCCACAACTGGTAACTTGCAAAGTTACCAGTTCAGTGGTTCTCAAAGTCTGGTTGGCATCAGAATCATCTGGGAAAGTTTAAAAACTGAAAAGGCCGGGTCCTAATCTTTGTGAGTGAGCCAGGGTGGCTGCATCCTTTGTGAGCTCTCCAGGCCATTCAGACCCACGCCAGTCTGAGAACCACCGCTCAGGTCAATGTTGCCAAGTGTGACTTCAGGCTTGCTGATGGTCACGAGGATTTCCTGACCTCAGGGTCAACTCCTTGCTTCAGTTCTTACAATCAAATGATACTCCAGTCCCCAGACTCATTTTTTTTTTCATGGCAGTAAGAACTAATCGCTAATAGCCTATTAGCTTAGTCTTTTTCAAGATCACTAACTGATGTTCATAAACAGAACTTGGCACATTGACTAGCCTTTATTGTGGGTACTTCCACTAAGAAGTCTGGCTGCGGTGGAGCACGTGGCGGTATCTCAAAGCTCCAGTGCGAACACACAGGAGCAGATCATCGTCTTCCTCCAACAGACGAGGGCGCTTTGTTTCTGATCCGAGCATCATCACTGTTGTCCTGAAAGGGTTATTCTCCTATGCACTCAGCATTCATTTCCAAATCCTTCTGTGTCTGTCCTCTCACCTATCAAGGGACTGGAGGACTAAAATCTATTCCCTAGGCTCCCTTCTGGTGCCAGAAGTAACTGAGCTTCTATCGGTGAGATGCCCAGTGCAAAACCTGGAAAACAGAAGCTGGGGTAAACGATGACACGTGTTCCAGCAGAGAGGAGCTTTTGCAACAGCCAGATTCTGTTCTTGTGTCTAGGTTCGGAGCAGCTGTGACATGGGCACAAGTTCTGGCAACTTCCTGGCCACAGGATCCCAGCTGCAGTGCTATGATTTCAATGCTGGGAGCGCTGACTTTGACTTCCACTCTTCCAATGATTATGTTAGCACTGAATCCCCCTCATTAAACATGCAGCTGCTTGAAATATCCACAGCACTTGGTTTCCTACACTGAACCATAACTGATCTGGTTCATGTCTTTAATTTTGCTCTGCTGTGTTAATGTATGTGGAGAATAACCATTTATTTCTTTACGTTCTTGTGGTCTGATTATTTTACTGCTTACCATTATTGCGGCTTTAAACTCCAACACTTTGTTATTACCAAGAGTTTTTCCCACTGCAGTGACGAGTGCAGTTGGGGGGTGGCAGGAATGAAAGTTTTTGCCTTTCCTAACTGGGGTTAAAATGAAACAAGTTTGAGATTCATTATTCTAATTAAATCTGCTATTTCAGCCAACTTATGCTGCATGCATGCATGATTTTTGCTTTTGTTGTGTCCGACTCTCTGTGACCCCATGGACAGTAGCCTGCCAGGATGCTCTGTCCATGGGGATTCTCCAGGCAAGAATGCTGGAGTGGGTTGCCATGCCCTCCTCCAGGGGATCCTCCCGATCCACGGATTGAACTCATGTCTCCTGAGCCTCCTACATTGGCAGGTGGGTTCTTTACCCACCTGGGAAGCCCAACTTATGCTACATTAGGAACAAATCACTCATCAGCCACAGCTCACATGATCTCTCATCAAACAACATCTCGATTGCACACCCTTATAGCCTTATGCCTCTAGTTCTAGTTTTCCCTTAAGAATCAACTCTAGATCTATCATCTATTTTCAAAAAATTTTTGGCCACGCTGGGTGGCATGTGGGATCTTAGTTCCCCCATGAGGGATCACACCCACGTTCCCTACATTGGAAGCATGGAGTCTTAACCAATGGACCACTGGAGGAGTCCCAAAGTCTGTCTTCTTTAAGTCATGGAGGGATATGCCCTATCTCTTCAGCTAAAATCTTTAAGCATCCCCTATAACTCATTAGAGATTAACATATAACATGCTGCTGAATAAATGTCTCTTAAGGACCACGACCACTGTCTCAGAGTCAACATTTCCTCCTCTGACGGCTTCATTCGTCAGGAAGGTCTTCACTGAGTTCTCTGTCCAAACTTCAATCATGAAACTGAAGCATGAAGTCAGAATTCACAGAAAATATGTCATAAGGTAGTGAAAATAAGGAACCTGGCTTAAAGAAGAACAAAGCGTACATAACTGTCACAGAATAGACTCACTAAAGGCACAACTGTCTCTGGATACAGTAAGAAATATTTATGATCACTGCGATCACTGTGAGGAAGTGAAAAGAGCCCTCACCTACATGTAGAAAATTCTATTTCCAGTCCATCATTAATGCAAGTAGGACCCACAAGGAGCTGGTAGGCATCGGTCTCACTGCACAAAGCAGGTGTCCGTCCTGGCTGGGCAGCGCCCAGGCCATTCCAGTTGGTGAATATTTTGGATGTCACCCCTGAGTATAACCAATAACTCAAGGCCTACATAATGGAAATGTTTTGCTATAAATTTCACTCCTTCCTAATTTGATTCTTTTCTAGTCCCCATTACAGTCATTTAAAAATTCACTATTTGGGGGAGTTCCCTGGCGGTCCGGTGGTTACAACTTTGTAATTTCACTGCAGTGGCCCATGTTCCATCCCTGGTCAGAGAACTAAGATCCCACAAGCTGCACAGTGCAACCAGAAAATAACAATAAAAAATGTCCCTACTCCTTTCACAACTCCTATCTCATTCCCAGTACCTAGGATAGTCCCTGACAAGCACTCATTGACAGTTTACTGAATGTCCCATGAATAAATCTGACCCTTCACTTACCCTTCTAGTTTAGAAGGAAAAGAGAATCCTTCTATGTTCTTTATCTGTTTCCCAAATTTGTTGATACCGCTTTTTATTTTTTTTTCCTTAGAAGGTGTCTGAATTTCCTTTCTCCATCCATGGTTTTATCCCATCTTCAGCCATAAAAACATTCATGAGTCCCCACGATAAACGCCTTCCCTGGGCTCTGCCCCGTCTTACTTTCCTTCCTTCTCCTCTGATCTGCACTAGTCTACACACACTTCGTCTCCACATCCCTCCCAACCACACCTCGGCCATGCTGAACACTTTTCTCCCAGCACCACTTCCCTGAGAAGATTGTGAATTGTCAGAAGCAGCCCATTAATTGCCAAGTCNTACACCTGAAACTAACACAACACTGTAAATCAACTACACTCCACAAAAAAATAAAGAAAACAGTGTGCTCACCACTGTGCCAGCCAAGGGGTCATAGAACCGGTCCAGGAGCTGGACGACCGTGCTCTTCCTGCAGCCGCTGCTGCCCACCAGGGCCAGCGTCTGGCCCTTCTTCACCTCCAGGCTCAGCCCCCAAAGCACTGGGATGTCTGGTCGAGTGGGGTAGTTGAACACGACTTCATTAAATGCCACGTTTCCTTCCATTGTATTCTAAAATCAGGACAATAACAGTACATTTGATTGTTGCAATCCTGAAAACTGACTTTAGAGCCAACCCTCTGGACTGCCAGGTATCAGAAGGCAGCGATCTTGGATTCCAACCAAGCTTCAGTTGAAACTGCTAGAAAGTAATACAGATCTAAAAGAGGCAGTGTTTCCACAGCATGTCTCATTAACACAATACAAATGTGATAACCCAAAGCTATAAAAGAATAACCTACACATAATAAAACCTGATTCGCAGGATTTGTGTATAAAATGGGCAGTATTCCTATATCCCTGTGGCTTTGCTATATAAAAGTACTAGATGTTAACATGTATCAATATGAATCAAGAAAGTTTCATTTTACTACCAGCAAGTAAAAGCACAGATTTTATTAAACTTCCATGTAGAATACATTCATTCATCAGTTAGGAGCAGATCACAGAATCAAAACATGAAACTGACCGGCTTTAGGCCTTCTGTGCTGTAGGTGTCGATCAGAGGAATTTTTTCAATGATATTGATGACGTGGGCCGCTGACACCTTGGCCTTGGCGTAGTCAGGAGCAAATGAACTGACCTGTCCCACAGCCATGGCACCAAAGACAATAGCTGAGAACACTCTGCCAACAACAAAGACAAAACGTGTCAAGAGTTAACAACTGCAATGCCAAAAGCGTGACATGTCTACAATCTGAGAGCGCTGCTTCGACGAATCACAACACGTTAGTAAAAAAATAAAACAACCGTTTCCTTATAAGTTCATATCAGTGTGGCTACCTGATTGTAAAATCACCCCATGTTTCATCTCTCTCTGGGTTTTCGCCTTCTTATAATGTGACCTTCGCAGCTTCTCCATGGAAGAAGTGGCATTTGTCTTCCTACCCTTGGAATCTGGGTTGGCCTTGGGACTTGCTTTGGACAACAGGATGTGGTGGAAGTGACTGTTTCCAGCTCCAAGCCTATGATTCAGGGGGCCGTGCGAGCTCCTGTCTCTCTCATTCTGCACAACCACAACCCCGGCTGGCCTGCTGCAGGACAAGACACAGACAGAAGAGTGTTGTGTGGGCCCCAGCCAATCAGCCCACTGCTCACTGCACACACGCGTGAGCCCAGCTGAGATCTACTCTGCCTAGCCCAGATCAGCAGAACTGCCTGGCTGATCCACAGACTTAAGCACCAAGAACAAATGTCCACTACTGTACCTTCCTGGGGGCTAGTGGGTGGCTGTTTTGCAGCGGTATCTGTGGCCATCGATAATAGACACAGGCAGTTTTGCTGGAATTGGATCAGAGTCTTAGAAAACCCATGAGCCATGCAGCAAACAAGAGAGTTCCTTAAACAGCCAGATAATGTGCTGCTCTCAAGATGCACTGAGTTCTTTTTGGGTTTTTTTGGCCATGCTGCAGCTTCTGAGATCTTAGTTCCCCCCAGGGATCAAAGCCAGGCCACAGTACTGAAAGCAACCGAGTTCTAACCACTGGACCACCAAGGAAGGCCCTGCATCACCATTCTTAATCTACAACATGAGAATCATAGCAGCTTCAGGTTAGGAACGACTTCACAGGATGTCAAGTCCAGCTCTCCAAGTTTGTGCCAGGGTGCACACCCCAAGCCAGCTCCCACCCTTTGTTTTAGGAAGGAGGAAGTTTGCTGGAGGAAGTCTTTTGTTAAAAAGTTCCTTTTCAAATCAAAGAGAAATGTACATCCTTTTGCCTAATACTGCCCTTCAAAGAACTGGAATATTATTTAAAAAGCCCTTTGCATCTTTGGTAACTCCTTTCACTCCCAACATTCCAGCTGCCCTTCTCTGGACACATTGATCAAAATGTCTTTTTAAACAGTGGGCCTAGAACCGATACAACAGTGGGGATCTTCCCAGGATAATACTGTGAGTCCATCGGGTTCGTTTCTTTGGGCTCTATGCCTGAGCTCACGGAGCACATGGTGCTGTTTCTAAACAGCTCTGAACAAATCACTCAGATGGTTCATGTGGTCTTATCTAGACCTGTGGGATCTTTTTCAAACATAGCTCTTCAGACAGGTCTCCCCTATCTCCAACTCAGAAGACTGATTTTCCGAACCTAACAATCCAAGAGTCTGCAACTTCCATCAGCTGAATACCTTAACCTCAGAGTAAAGCACTAATTTGGATTCTCTGGTGACTCAGACGGTAAAGAGTCTGCCTGAAATTTGGGAGACCTGAGTTCAATCACTGGGTCCAGAAGATCCCGTGGAGAAGGAAATGGCAACCCACTCCAATATTCTTGCCTGGAAAATCCCATGGACAGAGAAGCCTGGTGGGCTACAGTGCATAGGATCGCAAAGAGTCGGACACAACTAAGCGACTACACTTTCATTTTCAAAGCAATAACTATCAAATAATTATCTAATCAAAGCACCAATACCAGTGATGCCTGAATACAATCTTTTGGTCATAGTCATAAAGAGCACTTGCATATCATCTGTCAGATAGAGGTTGAGTGGAAATTTTACAATCATCTGTTGGGGTCATGCTGAGAAACCTGGAATGCATGCACAAATCGATGTCTAAATAGGATATAAATATTATATTGACACATACTTCCAAGTTTCAATGATGCTGGTTTAAATGTAAAACTGTGTCACCACTGATTATGGTATGCTATCAAAGGGCAGCTCAGACATAACCAAATCAAGAAACTCAGAAAAATTACACTCACTTTTCACTACCAAACCACATATTTTAGTTTAACTGTATATTCAGTATTTTAGGAGGAAGTCCAGGCCCGCCTTCTGACTCAGGTACAGTCTTCTGCATTTCATGGTGATGAGCCAGATATTCCCATAGGGCTTTCCTTTTTCATTCCTCAATTTATCCAGCTCTTACCTTCTAATTCCTTTTCTCTTATCAAGCAAAGCAAATGTATCCTAAAATATTCCAAGGCTCTCAGAACTCAGTGCTCCACATCTATTCTTTAGCTGCCCTGTTCAGAATCTTGTCAAAGGAACCAGCTACTTGACTCTGGGTGAGGTTTCTTCCCAAACACCCAGGCCTGCTGGAAACCCCTCATTGAATCACAACCCCACCTAGCCATGGATTTGAGAAGGTCAAATGTGTGAGTCAGCACTGGGGAGAAGGGCAGATACCAATTCCCCAAATGAAATGGGATGCTTTCAGAGTAACACACGGAGACTCAGAGGCAAAACGCCAACTTCTGAATCACCAAAATCTCTTCATGAAGCTTCACAGTAAGGCTTCCTATCCAGGCATGAAGCACATGCACCTTGGTTTCATTTCTAGAGCCCGACTGTCAACAGCCCATACTTACAAGAGAACATCCTGAAACTCCATGATGCCCTGAGCCACCAAGTAGGCACCAAACCGGAAACAGCCAGCATAGGAGAAATACATCATTGCCTGGGTGATGGAAAATGTAATTCCAAAGACATGTGCTTTCCTCAAAGAGTTTCTGAAAAGAAGACATTCTGACATGTACTTGACTTTCATTTCTCAGTCCTTAAAACATAATCATTGATGCGTTAGCAGTAGGGGATGGTAGCGTAGCAGACAAAGTGGGTTTCATTTCCAAAACACTAAGTTTGGTCCTCACATCTCCACTTCAACAGAGAACTAACCACACCTCGAACTGTTGAGGTCAAGTAAAATAAGCCAAGGACAAGAAGAACAGTTTGTTAGGGGTTAATGCACTCCTTCCCTTCCCCCCACCCGTGGACATGTAACATGTATGTACTCTACACTGAACAAATGCTCAGCACGTGTTGACCCAACACCCATAAGCTGCAGGGACGTGAAGGGCCACGCAGAGGTGCCAGGTGTGTCCTTGTCCTTGGGGACCCAGGAGTTGACTTGGATTATTCATGCAGTGGAAGATTACCTTATAACATGTTACAGCAAGAAAGGAGGCAGCACTAACCCTCTAGGGGGTTTGGGGAAGGTGCCAGCAGGGAGTTAACAGTGTGGTTTTGAGCCGCAGGGAACTGGGTGACGCGGGCGCAGACTGCTGAGCGGGCCTGTTCCAAGCAGGGCAGCTCAGCTTCTGTTTCGAGTACTGGGATTTAAACAATTCTTTTCCTGTAAAAAGGCTCTACTATAAGACCCAAATCTGCTCCTTTCATCATATAAGGAACAAGAGAGTCAAAGAGGTCAAGCCTGCTTGTATCAACGTGACTTTTTAGAGCACTCACCATGAGTTCATTAAAGGACAAAGGGTCTGCACTGGAGACAGGTAAAGAGAAAAAGGAAGGGAGGGTGTCCTCAGGAAGCACCACCCCCTCAAGCCTCACAGACACCCCAAATTTCATGTTCCACAAAGAAGTCATTCCAGCAGGATCATGTGGTAGGGTCATCACACAAACACAGGGTCAGAGGCATTCTCAATATCCTCGCTCCCTCCTCCGCCCTCAGATACCTGCTCTCATAGGATCTACCTCAGAGACATTCTTGCCTTAGGTCAGGTCCTGTGATTCCTCTCTTGGAGAATTACAACTGCTTCCCAATTGGTTCCCTTCTAGAAGTCTCTCCACTTACTCCCTACCTTCTGGTCAAAGTAATTTTCCTGAAAACAAGCCAGATGATTGAAAAACTCCCCGTACTCCCCTCCTACTCGTCAGGGGCTATTACCTGTACGGTACCTGCAAACTCTGGGCATACATGTATTCAAACCTCTCCTCCCGAGTCAAAGAAACAACAGTCCGGAAATTTTCTATCGCTTCGGTGGCAATCTGCAACAGAGANGCCCCCCAAAATAAAGTCTGACACTGTTTCCACTGTTTCCCCATCTATTTCCCATGAAGTGATGGGATTTATTATGACCTCTCAGTTTTTTTTGCTATGGAAAGAGATACTAAGTAAGTTATCAAATTGAGTTTTAGATCTGGTAAGAACATGAGCTAATTTAAACTCCTCTTTGCAGACAGTCTCAAGTGTCAACAGAAGAAGGCCCTTACCTAAAGCCACATAGCTTTACAGGAGGGTAAGTAACCTGAGAACTCAGTACTTCACCTCTACTGAAAAGCTCTTTCTTCTATGATGGTCACATTTTAAGTTCATAATTATTATATATAAATTATTATAATATCATTATAATTGCTATTATTAAAAACATATAATGTAATGTTTATATTTTTCTCTGCATAATTGTCATTTGAGACAACTAAAGAATTTTTGGAAAATATTGAAAAGATAAAGAAGGTAATGAAATAAACAGTGATATCATTGTGATTATTAATAAAAATTAAGCAAAAGCTTAAAAAAAAAAGAAGGTAATGAAAAGTTATATATTGGTGTATTTTACATAATAGCTTACATGCTGTTATTTTCTAAAAATATACCTGTTTAACAAAATTGGGCTAAAGTTCTATGTTTGGCTTTACAGCCTTATTTTTTACTTTAACAAATATCTAGAGCCTTTTCCAAGGTTATTAAATATATCTTTAACAATGGGTTGTTTAAAGGCCCACTGAACAAAGCTTTTACTGAACAAAGTTTTCAATTCTTATTAAAAAAGAATGCTGTGGATAGAGAAATATACCGTGTTCATGGATTGAAAGAATCAATATTGTCAAAATTACTATACTACCCAAAGCAATCTATAGATTCAATGCAATCTCTATCAAGCCACCAACGGTATTTTTCACAGAACTAGAACAAATAATTTCACAATTTGTATGGAAATACAAAAAAACCTCCAATAGGCAAAGTAATCTTGAGAAAGAAGAATGGATCTGGAGGAATCAACCTGCCTGACTTCAGACAATACTACAAAGCCACAGTCATCAAGACAGTATGGTACTGGCACAAAGACAGAAATATAGATCAATGGAACAGAATAGAAAGCCCANTGATTACTTTCTAGTTGAAAGTTAACTTCCAACAAGGCTATCTCATTAGACCAAATAGATCATTTACCACCTTTTAGAGTCTGGGTAAAAAGGCTATAGAAAATACAGAAAACATTAGTGTACAATACAAAAAGATATTTCAGCCTGCTTCAACGTGGGACCTCTCTGTCTTGTTCTCATCATCTTTAAAATGAGGATAGACAAGAGGGTCTCTGAAGTCCCTTTTAACTCAAATTTTAAGACAAATAATTTTTAGATTATATGTCTAAATTATAAATCACTAAGAGAAATTATTCATATTAAGATGTTCTTCCTTTCTCTGGCCTCTTCCTGGTCAGAACTGACTCTAATACAGACAAATTCAATTATATGAGAGTGATTTATGGCACAAAAATCACAATTCCAAAATCTCACTTATTCTTTACTGAATCCTACACCAATACCTAACTTCAAAGATTAACAGTGAATATTTGATAGGACATTGTTGGTTTTAAAGACTAATGCAAAAGGCTACTAGAAGAAAGAAATTAATACCATATTCTTAAAAACAAAAAAAGTATTTTAAAAATAAAGTTAAAAATATTATATTCTGACCCAGCAGGCCAACAAGACTGAACTAAGTTTACCATAAGCTACTAACAAATACAGGGAAATGTCCAGATTCAATTTATGTTAAAATATTTTATGTAATTATTTACATATTATAAAAATTACACTTATTTTAGAAAATACTAACAGTGCAGAAAATAAAAAGTTAGAGGAAAAAATCCACCTCCAGTCAAACCCTCAGAGATAACTGCTGGTAGAAATATTTTCATTTATGAGGCTTCAAAGAAAGAAAAGAGGCTTTTTTTTGCATTAGTTAAGACAATTCAGCAAACTTTAAAACTGTCTGCTGGAAAAAAACAGACCTTACTGTGAATTTCAATGTGATGATTTTAAGAAATACTTATTTGCTGGGCACATTTTTTCTAACACCAGTGAGTATTGTTTGGCTTGTAACGTCATCACTTTATAGAGTGTGTGGACAGCCCAATAAAAGTGAGAGTTCACGAGTTACACACCTTGAATAGTGAGTAAAACAATATAATCACTGCACAATCATCTTCATCTTGTCACACAAGAAGAAATCAGGAAAAGGCTTAATTAGTATTCTGCATCCTCGCAGCTTCATTTACTCCAAATTTTACATTGAGACTCAGTAACCAATATGAGGAGAGAGAAGTTGTAATTCAAGAGGAGGAAATATCAATAGTATTGGGTTTCCCTCAGAAACCATCATGTACTAAATAATTTTTAGGAACGAAAAAAATATGTATAGGTTTCTTGAAAAACCTCACACTTCTCTTCCTACCCCTGTAGCAACTCAAGAGTGATTATGGCTTTTATTTCTAAGAAAGAAAAAGCATCTATTCTATAAAAAAATGTTCATTCGTGAATAATGTGACAGAAATCAATGGAGCAGAGATCACGAGCAGTGTAGAGGTTTCACGAGCTGGCTCTGACATCACACAGTCCTGCTCTGCACTCCTGGACCTGCTCCGTCCTTCTAAGAGAAACCAACAGATATGATACTGGTCCCTACCTTAGTAGGGAAGACGGTCATTAATCATAAACAAGTGGGAAAGAAACATCAAGTGCTGAAAAGTGTCAGGAATGAACTTGAATGTCAGGAGAGACCTCTCAGAAGAGCTATGAAGACCAGAGGGAACCAGCTTGGAGTTTTCTAGGAACTGAAAGAAGGCCCGTGAGGCCAGGGCAGGGTGGATGAGGGAGACAGCAGTGCAAGACAGGGTCAGAGAAGTCATCATGGACTGAGTCATGCAGTTTTATAATCCAGGGTTGATTTTATTGCCAGTGTGATCAGAAGTCACTGGAGGGGTGGAGGTTAGCAAGATCTTATTTGTGTTTATAAGAGATGACTGTGGCCTCTGTCAGACAAATATAAAAAGCAGACAAACAGACCAATTAGGCTGCTGCTATGTGACTTTGGGCAAGTTACCTGACTCCTCTGAACCCTGAGATTTATGATCTAACAGAGTAATTCAAAAGGGTTACTGAGAGTATCAAGTGAGAACATGTAGCATTCTTAGCATGATGCCTGGTACATAATAAACAATCAATAAATGGTAGCCTGAGAATGACGATCAGATGGGCACTGACTATTTCATAGACTGGTTGGTGCAGCAACCACTTCCCCTGCCTGCTTTTATCTCTCTCACGAATCACCACTGATTTAGAGCATTTAACTCATTCTGACCTTTATCCAGAAAACCTGCTCGACTCAAACATATCCGTTTCCATCTGCACCCCTTCACCTGCCCCACCTCCAACAAATTACCAGAGTCTTAAAGCTAACGCAATACTTGGCAGGTGAAAACCTGTGGCTTGCAATGAATCAGCTTCCGACTGATCATCTTCCTACAAACAACCTAAACCTCCTCTCTGGGACACTTTGAACACCCCCATAAATGATGACACTAGAAGCAGTAATGCGCTTTCTTTGTATGCACATTTTTTCATCTTCTCATTAGATGAATCAACACATAGGGGAAAATCCCACAAAGTACAGGATTAAATGAAGTGACTGGTCACAGGACGGCTCTCTGCCAGGGGCCGATGTCACCTGGGCCTGACCACACCCAATGTCTGAGGGCCAGCACCATCCTGCTGGACTTCAGGACCAGGCCTCTGACTGCCCAAAGGGAAACCTCATCCAGCACCATCCTGCTGGACTTCAGGACCAGGCCTCTAACTGCCCAAGGGGAAAGCTCACATGAGGACTTTCTCCCCCAGACAATCACCGAGAAGCACTAAAACTGATCCAAAGAAGTTTCCTGAAGGAATCCCAAGGACACAGGGTAAAAAGTCAGAGGAGATAGCAAGGAGGCAACGGAAAAAGTGTGAGTGCTGACACCCAACCAAAAGGACCCTTTTCATCATCCTTATCGGTGAGGTGCCTGGTCCAGAGACAAAGTACCCAAGGCCATGGGATCTGGGCCACTGGATCTGCCCGGGTCGCTGCCTTGACTCTTAGGAACCTTGGAGGGTCCACGGGTAGATGTATCCCTATCCCAGACGGTAGGCCTGGTTCTGAGGGAGCTCGGCTCTGACCGCTCATTTCTGCAACGATACAGATGATGTGATATCAGACTGTGTCCCGCTGTCAGCAGACGTCTGTTTTGTTTTTTTAATGGAGGATAATGCTTACACTGCTGTGCTGGTTCTTCTGTACAACAAGGCGAGTCACTCTAAGAGTATGCACATCGCCCTCCTTCTGAGCCCCCCCCACTCCGTCCTACTCCTCCGGGTCAGCACAGGACACTGAGTTCAGTCACTTGTGGTAACAGCAGCGTCCCGCCAGCTGTGCATTTTACAGGTGGTGGTCTGTATGTGTCTAAGACCTCTTTGTTTCTTAACTGAGGTATAACTTGGGAGCACGACTGTCTGGGTTTGACTCGTGGCTCTGAAACCTCTGAGCTCTGAGGCACTGGGGCATTACCTGCCTGTGCCTCAGCCTCACCTGCGAGAGCAGCCAACAGAGGAACCTCTCTCACAGGTCACCCTGAGGAGGAAAGCAACTGCCGTTTACGCACCTGTTCAACAGCAACTCTACTCAAAACTCGGTAATAACCTAAATGAAGAAAGAATCTGACAAAGACAGATCCATGTAGAACTGAATCACTTTGCTGTACACCTCAAACTATAACACAACAGTGTTAATCAACTATACTCCAACATAAAGTAAAACTTTTTGGGGAAAAAGGGGGGAGATTCAAAATGCAAAACCATAACAAACAGGCAAGCAAGCAACATGCTCCCCCCACGCCCAGCAAAATGTGTTAGGATAAAGGGTAAACGGGGCTTCCCAGGTGGTTCAGTCAGTGGTAAAGAATTTGCTTGCTAATACAGAAAACAGGAGATGCAGGTTCGATCCCTGGGTTGGGAAGACCTCCTGGAGAAGGAACCCACTCCAGTTACTCTTGCCTGGGAAATCCCACGGACAGAGGAGCTTGGCAGGCTATAGTCCATGGGGCTGCAAAGAGTCGGACATGATTGAGCGACTAACAACAACAGATGGCAAACACAAGTAACATGAAGGGAGAGGGTGTAATGAAAGGGAGAGAGTGATAGTATTTTAGCCAGTTAGAGTGAATACCTTTAAGACTTCAATTTTTAAAAATCTCCCCTCCCCACATCTAATTAAATAGGGCTCCTTTCCTCAATAAAGCAATGGATTTCTGGAGAAAGGGGAAGGACGGAGAAAAAGTGATATGAAAACAATTGTCTGTAACTAGAAAAGTCCCACAAAATTAGTCATCAGTCTGTGAGTCTAAGAATTTGTTTTGCTACTTTTCTTCAGTTTTCTGCTAGTTTTCTTCAGTTTGCAATCTGCTGAATTAGTGTCAAATAAGAGTGCTTTGAGGAATGGTTATAAAAACATTCTCAGGGATTTCCCTGGTGGTCCAGTGGTTAAGACCCCTGTGATCCTAATGCCGGGGGCTAAGGTTCAATCCCTGGTCCGGGGACTAAGATCCCACATGCTGCAACTAAGTTCACAGGTCACAACGAAGACTCAGCACAGCCAAATAAATAAACACAAAAGCCATCCTCAGAGCACAGAAAGTAGCCACGACTAACAGAACAACACTGCTTTGAATATTTTACTCTACCCAGGTCAGAAATTTTATCTCATCTGACTCACCTTCCCAGCACCTTCCAGTTCTTTCTTTCAGAGAGCATTGTCCAGACAGCATTTTCATTTCAATAATTCCTGTTACTGCAAGGATGGGTATAACTGTTAACAGGAGAAGTGTCAACTGCCAGCCATAGATGAGGGATATAATAATGCCTGTGCCAAGATTTGCAATATTCTGGGTAATTACAGCAAGCCTGGAACCTATAGCCTGCAAAACAAACGGAAAACACCGTTAGACACCTTCCGATCATCTCTAAAGTTCATGCTCATGTTCTTTAAGACTTCAATTTTTAAAAATCTCCCCTCCCCACATCTAATTAAATAGGGCTCCTTTCCTCAATAAAGCAATGGATTTCTGGAGAAAGGGGAAGGAAGGAGAAAAAGTGATATGAAAACAATTGTCTGTAACTAGAAAAGTCCCACAAAACTAGTCGTCAGTTTGTGAGTCTAAGAATTTGCTTTGCTACTTTTCTTCAGCTTGCAATGTGCTGAATAAGTGTCAAAGACTGCTTTGAGGAATGGTTATAAAAACATTCTCAGGGACTTCCCTGGTGGTCCAGTGGTTAAGACCCCTGTGATCCTAATGCCGGTGGCTAAGGTTCAATCCCTGGTCAGGGGACTAAGATCCCCCATGCTGCAACTAAGTTCACAGGTCACAACGAAGACTCAGCACAGCCAAATAAATAAACACAAAAGCCATCCTCAGAGCAAAGAAAGTAGCCACGACTAACAGAACAACACTGCTTTGAATAGTTTACTCTACCCAGGTCAGAAATTTTATCTCATCTGACTCACCTTCCCAGCACCTTCCAGTTCTTTCTTATCTTTCAGGGCTTGTCCAGAGAGCATTTTCATTTCAATAACTCCTGCTACTGCAATGATGGGTACAATTGCTAACAGGAGAAGTGTCAACTGCCAGCCATAGATGAGAGATATTATAATGCCTGTGCCAAGATTTGCAATATTCTGGGTAATTACAGCAAGCCTGGAACCTATAGCCTGCAAAACAAATGGAAAACACTGTTAGACGCCTTCCGATCATCTCTAAAGGCCATGCTCATGTATTTTCTTAGGGACTGTGAAAATTCAGCTTTGTGAAAATCTCATCTCCTCGGTTATGAGCTAATAAGTTAGTAGTAAAAGTTTACATGTAACTTTATTTGGTTTCCCAGATGAGGATTTCCATGACTTCAGAATAAATACTGAAAGTAGGTCAATAATTCAGAGTTCAATTACATATTTCTATCTCATTTGATTTTTTAATACCACAAAACTTTTCATTAAACGACACCATGATCCCTAACACAAGCTCTGCAAATTAGCAAGATAAAAAAGTCTGACAATTATGTTCAACTGGGACCGTTGGAAATTTCCAATGTTAGATGCATGACTACCCATAATTTAAGCCTAATATTGTCATTGAGGGTATCCAAATATTTTGTGGCTTATTTGAGATGCTTATTGTGTTTAGAGGGCTTCCCAGGTGCTACAGTGGTCAAGAATCCACCTACCAATCCAGGAGATGCAGGTTTCATCCCTGGGTCGGGAAGATGCCCTGGAGTAGGAAATGGAAACCCACTCCAGTATCCTTGCCTGGAGAATCCCATGGACAGAGGAGCCTGGTGAGCTACAGTCCATGGGGTTGCAAAGGAGTTGGACATGACTGAGCTAGAACTAGAGAGACTGTGTTCAGAAAAAATACACAGAGCTGAATGTTATGGAATTTAAATTTACAATACTAAGCAGGCATCAGAACCTTCAGTTTACATGCCAGAAGGAGCCTGAAGCATAACTGTCAGAAGCATTCAGTTATTTCCAACTGAAAAGTCAGAAGTCAAAATACAAAGTTGATTCGCTTCACTACTCTACACCCCTCTCCCTTACCCTGGAAATGCCCCACAACCTCAAGCCTTTCCAAATTCCTGCTCTGGGCCACGTCTTATCAACTCTCCAAATTTCCTCTGCCTAGGTGGGGCCATTCTCAGGGGAAGATTAATGACGGAGACCAGTCTCGAATGGTCATTTCCACCTCTGGGGTCCTGGTCAATATTTTCCCAACCCCAAAATGACTAGGTACACTGATTAATAACCAAAGCTTCTGGCGGCCCTGAGTTTGAAGACAGAATTCTTTCCAAGCCCCTGCCTCAATGTCGACCTTCTGAAATCATTTGAAACTTATGTTGGTATAAACACCAAATCAGTAACTAGGGGGAAACAGTATTAAAAAACTACCAATAGCTCTATAATTAAATTCCATACCAAGGAATTGCACCAGGGCTGCAAGAAACGGCATATATAACAGAGCATTTATTTTTATTTGAAGCCATCACTGAGCTTATATAAAGGGAGGTTTAGCCATATCTGGCATAAGTCAGAGTGGACTGGCCTTTCAAATCAGCTCTGTATTTGTACATTTTAAATTTCAAAGTCAAGGATTATAATCTGAAGAGAGTCTGTGGCGCAGGCAAGATGGAGACTGTTCCTTTTTCAGTATCCACCAGTCCTACTTAGAACTCATTTCCCACAGCACCTGACTGAAAGAAGCCCTCAGAACATCCCCCAAGTTCAGAGCAAATTACTCCAGTATCTAAACTTCCATACATGTAAATGTCTCACTGAGGATGGCAGCCAAGGCCACAGAAATAAGTAAAACGGATCAAAGATGCTCTTTAATGTGCATGAAAGATGCTCCAAAAAACCTAGAACCTTAAGCTGGTGGGGAGTAAGCCCCTTGTCACAGTATGATTAAATGCTTCCGGTGACACTGTACTGGTTACTGTTCTTTATTCTAATGATAGATTCACTGTACCAATATCTATTCCTTATACAGAAAAAGTCTGTAGAACACTCCATGGGAGAGCATAGATTACTAGAAGCCAGAAACTTCTCATTTCAACAATGAGGAGGAGGGTAGGTAACATTCTAAAGTTAGAGCCCAAGAATGAAACAAGGTTAGGACAAAAATGCTTTAATATCTGAAACTCACAAAGTCTCTCCTGGAAATCTCTCCACCCCACTATATTATCACATTTTTCTACCCATCTTTTCCTGTTTCTCTCTCTCCTATTATTTCCTCTTCAGAGCACCATCATATCGCTTGAAACCCAATTTTAAAATATGTGAGTTTACTAGGGGAAAAAAAAAAAGCCTATTTCCCGAACCTCCTTTTGAAATTAAGAACATTTCATCTTTCTCTCAACCCCCTTCTCCAGAAATTTTTTTTCTAAAATATATAGTTTCTTTTGACTTCTATATGGCTCTTATTTGCTTTTTTTCCCCTCAAAATTCTAACCCTTCTATGAAAATTAAACAGCCCACCATTTCATAGGCAAAATATTGCGATTTTTGAAAGAAAATAAAAGTTTTCTTCTGATTTATGATTAGCAGGATTAAGCAAGCTACTTACTCAAAAATATCAATACCTCGGAGAAAATCATTGATGGTGAAGTTAAATAAGAAAAAATTAGGTAAATATCATCACTAACTATATACACACGGACTTGAGTTTGCCCTGTTTTATGTGGCAATGATTTTTGACAGCATTGCTTGCCTAATGTATTTATATATATAAATTATAGTACTTTCTACTGTAAAATAGATACACACATGTGTATGTATATATATGTGTGTGTGTATGTATTCTGTATTTGAGCATGCTCAGTCATGTCCAACTCTTTGCAACCCCATGGACTATAGCCCGACAGGCTCCTCTTTCCATGGACTTTTCCAGGCAAAAAAATTGGAGTGGGCTGCCATTTCTCCTCCAATGGATCTTCCCGAGCCAGGGATCGAACCCATATCTCTTGCATCTCCTACACAGAAGGCAGATTCTTTGCCACTTGGGCCACCTGGGGAGCCCCGTGTGTGTCTGTGTGTGTACATTTATACATATAAACACACATATCCCCCATCATAAGCAGGTCAGTTGGTGGCGTGGAGGGGATTCAACTGTCCTCTCAGCCAATTTGTGACAACAGCTATTTTGAGCNCCCCCAACAGGCACTTAAGACAGAATGGAGCTCCAGGAGGTGGCCAAGGGGCCCGACAACAACGCTGCAGAGGCGAAGGACCGAGCACAATTCTACAAATACAGGAATGGCCTGACTCCAGAGGAGTTTATGAAAGCTTGACTCCAGAGGAGTTTATGAAGGTCTGACCGTCAGCACAGCATCCAAGCAGCATCTGCTCAACATTCGGCTGCAAGGGACCGAATTAGTGGGCTTCCTCCAGGATGAGTCCTCCACACCAGACGGGATGTGGGGCATGTGTGTTGGTGGGAAGTACCTGAACACACATGGCAACGTCTCTGTGAAAGAGATACTGAAGTTACGGAAGCAAAGTTTAGCTAGGGAATACTGGCTCTAGGAAACTTCAGCACACAATTTGTCCCCAGAGGTCATTATCCCCAGGAATTGCCCTTCCAAGGAGCCAGCACAATGGATTAACCCCAAGCTTGTGGACAGATTCTCACGCTAATTTATTTATTTATTGCCACTCTATATTTTATTTTGAAAGTTATGGGTATTTGCATTTATGAAATTTTAGTCTTTTTTTTTTTTTCCAACTGGAGGATAACTGCTTTACAATGTTGTGTTCATTTCTACTGTACAATGTGAATCAGCTATCACCTTACGCTAACTTAAATTAAAAATAAAATAGAGTAATACTTTATATCTTCTTCCACCTACCACCCCATTTCCCTGCCCCACTTACCAG